TCAGGAAAACTTTGAAAGAAAATCTTTCATTATCATTTATTCAAAGTAAATCACTTCTTTCTAAGGCGCATCTACTTTGCTACTTTGCATTTTCCCATCAAGCGAATCTTGATTTTATAAAAGCATAATTAAGAGGAGTTCTCGAAATGTTTGGGTGAGAAAAATAATTAATTTTACCAATTGAATTTACTAATTACAAGAAACTCCACATTTCAGAGGGAAATATTTGAATTTACATACGGTAAGTAAATTGATTCTACATAAATCATTTTGTTCTCACTGTTAATTACAACGCTGCCTATTAAATACTAAAATCTCTGGCCACATTCTTTCCAAATAATAATAACCTCGTCGACTACAAATTGCTATTAACTTCAGGTTAATTAACTGATGGAAAAATCGACCGACAAACCGCAGATTATTGACCGCTTGCAATTATAAATTTCGCCATCGGCACGGATTGTCAAATCCTATATTACCCCGAAAATTCTTTCAAACATATTGGAAATATCGATGACCACTACTTCGAAATAATTCTGATTTATTCGATCACAATCATTTTCCATTACTACTTTCTCCGAATGTTTCCTTTCCATCGATTTCTTGATTATGTCTGCTCATTTGGAATAGATGCCAACAGCAGAGCAAAACTTGTAATAACTTATTCAGGCAGTCGATGCCTGAGATTGTCAGAAGAATGAGATTGTTGAACCATGAAAATAAGTTTATAGAATTTGTGGATAAAGTAAAGCTGTCGAAACTTCTGGAAGTAGATATCACTAATTAGGATCGCGTTATGGTATATCCATAGTTTCTTTAGTCTTAAGAAAGATTCTGTTAGGTTCACGGATTTCTTCATGAATTTAATTGAGAATTCGATTGACATGCGTATGAAGCTGAATTAATTTTTTTTAATTCCCCATTTGTCTCATGGAAATTTGTAATGACTATAAATTTTACTTAACGTGTTCTGTACTTTTCAGATTAGAACGAGTTAGATACACAAAAAAATTTAACTCGCTATCCCTATTATTTCTCATGTTATCGTGTAACCAAGGTTTTTTACTAAAAAGCGGGAAATTAATATATCTTCTAAATAATATAATAATAATATAGAATACATATTCTAAATTAGGCCGAACGGATACATATTTTTTCATTGATCTATATGGAGGTAATCGAGATGAATATTTTAAAACAAAAAAAATGGAGTCGGTCAGGTGAATTTTGAAATATTGAAGAAAAACTAAATTTAAAGGTGTATCTCAGAAACTAGACGACCGATCGGACTGAAATTGCGTGCCGTAACAGATCGTAATGATGACAGTTAAAATCAGGCGAAATATCCGATTTTCGTGATTGAATTTTATAGTATTAGCGTTTAATTTACCGGATAAATAAACATTCTAAAATCTAGAGCATTTCTAATCAAAGTTACAAAATTGTAAAAGCGGAAAAAAATCATTTGAAATTCCAACGAAATCTTGACAAAGTTCCAATATCATTGAATAAATGCTGGAATTACTAGCGACGATGATTAGTAATTACATAATTACATGCATAACATGGAATTATTTGATTATCACTAATAAATAATCAACAATAATTACGGTGTATTTCACATGTTCAATTGAATGACCTACCTTGATTTTTCTCGTGTCAGGAATTATCTCGTTTGATTCTCCCATGAAACCACGTCATAACCCAGGAAACGTAGTCCCACAGAAAAAAAAAAAGTATAAAAACCATTGGTCTCCAGCGTTGTTGGGGAAATGACATCATGGAACCGGCATCAGGATGTCAGTGTGAGGCGGAAGTGTCCACTACTTTTCCACTATTTTCCCTCCTTTTTTTATTCATCTCTTTTCCCTTGCCATACACTCAATCTCGTTGTCACGTCGAAAAATCCATCCTCCTGTCTCAGACTCTCTCGCTTTTTCTCCTTCTCTCTCTGTCCACTGGAAATGGGAATGGGAACATACCAATGTGCGGGTGAAAACCAGAAAGGAACAAAGAGGGATAAAATAAAGTAAAAAGAACTGGTGAAAAAAGAAGAAGAGTGGTTAAATAAAAAGATAAAAAAAAAAAAAGAAGGAATCGTTACAGGGAGAACGGAAACGTCTCGGTCCCACCGGGTCGGAAATTTAATTCCATTGCGCAGACTGGACATGGGGGATTTGTTTTTTACGACTACGGGTAAAACCACTGTCGATGGGACCGAGTAGAGCCGATGGGAGCATTAGGAGTGAAAAATTACGAGGTGAATTTTCTTACGGAATTATTTTAGTCTCGGTAAAGAGTTTAGTTCTTACTATGATTGGAGCAAGCCATCATGGAAAATTACGTACTCTCTAAATTGTCAAATTCTCTGTCACAGATTATTGTATCAATGTTATGGAATAGTAATAACTTTTATTTGAATTTTGATATATTGGAAATGGGATAGTTAAATTAATTAAAACACAGGTAGCAAATTCCAATCACTATTTATTTATTGAAATCGTCTGAAATCTTCTGAATACCGCCCGAATACCGTCTGAACATTATCAATATTTCCAACAGACTAAAGACTAGCCACAAAAACAATAAGAACATTCGTCACCAAATAAACAACCCTACAATGGTTTCTTGTGAACCCATTGTTTATGTTTATATAAACTCTGAGGCAACTCCGTGGAGCCTTCCATATTGATTTATTTTTGTAATCATCATAAATCAATTTAATATATTTCCATGAATTTTAACTTGATATTCTATATTCTAATTTCTAAATACGATAGAATATAATACAAGCTCTGAAATCATGCGATAATAGTCTGCGAAAATATGCTACCGTCCGTTCACCCTGTGGGGTCCTTGTTTTGGGCCCGACGGCACTAGGGGGTGTCAAGCCCTCGTTTCGGATAAATAAGTAGACATCAGACTTGTTACACTGGGATAAAGAGCGTCGATCAAGTATTTGCGCGATTGATCGTGATGAATTATGAATTGTCTTATCACCATCAGAACTAATCTAAAATAACAATCAGTGCCAATTCAATCTAAACTGTTAAATTGTTTATTCTGTGCAAGAATAAAATTTCAAATTCCAATCCCTGAAATAATCCGAACAAACCGAATGGAAATCGAAAAGAATCCGGAAAGGTGTTAATTAGTTAAAAAATTCGTTCCTAAGAGGAAAAATCATCTATAACAATAAAAAGATTTATTTAAAAAATTCACATTTGGCTATTTTCACATGAAATAAAACTCACAAAAAATGAATCCTAGGTTTCCTGACTGGTTTCCTCAATGTGTGGACTAAAAACTGATACTTCCATTTCAGTTGAAGTGAAGCCGCTCCGGATCGAGACTCCAGGAGAATTATTTTCCTTTTATCTCCTCTCCTTTATTCTGTTATTTCATTTTCTTTATTCTTTTCCAAAGCCCATCAAACTGATACCAAATAGCTTTAGTCTCCACAACAAATGTTGGAGGCATTACAAGTTCTGGAATTCAAGCTAGTCAATGTACTGCGAAATCCAACTAACAGTGAAGGCCTAAATTCTATTTAAAAAAAAAACTAGGTCACTGGTAGATTTAAGAGGAGAGTAAGAGGAGGACTACGAGATAGTAGAAAATTTTCGAGTTTACTGCAGTCGGTTGGATTCATCCCATGTGTACAACAATACTAAATGCATGTACATATGTCAGATGTAGAATTGTATACGTACATTTTCATAGTTACCACGGGGTGAGAGTACATCGAAGGACATAACGACAGAAACGGTAAACTGGTTTTCGACGTAAAACGCATTCCCCCCGTCGCCATCTCTTCCTCATCCAGAGCAGTGGCTTCAAAACCTCGGGTAGTTCAGGAAATATGGCTTCGGGTTTGAGCGTAAATTCTGAAGGCTGAGGAATACGAGAGATGAACAGAATGGCTTTACCTAGAGTGCTATGAGTTACCCCTGGATGGGTAGATGAATACAACGGGTATTTGGGGATAGAGGGTGGATTGGAATATGGGAGTGGAGAGATGAAAGAGAACTTTCAGTCCAAGGATAACACCTTTGAACAAACTTATGGTGTTAGGCGTGCAAAATCTCGCAAGTTTCGGTTTAGATTTTTTATTGGAAAAGAAATCGAGATTTTGATTACCTTTCATTAATCGTTGTTACCGCGTTTCGTTTTTCGGAAATACTACCATTGAATTCAAACCGTTAATTACCCAAAAATTGTTGTTTAAATTGTTTTAAATATGAGTTTTAATGATAATAAATATTACTCACACCGATTGTAACTAAAATTTGCAACCCGCGAATATAATCTACGGTTTGAATTGTCTCTGGGTCGATGGTTATAAACAAATAAGAATAAAAACAAGTAAAAATTGTTAAAGGGTGGGAAATCGATGTATTGATTCTCAGAGATCTGGTCAGTTTATAGAGAAATAATTAAAAATCCTTACTTTACCATCGGTACCAATTGACAATCCATTTTGATTCGATATTATTATTGACTATGAAATTAGAATTTTTCACGACTAGGGCGGAAAAAGTGAATGGCGAAGGCGAGGATTATAAAGTGTTTGAACCAGAATCACTTTTTTGACCGTAACTATGATGCTATTTTATGTCAGTGTGATCGAAATGGTAAAATATTCTTTTCAAAGACAGAAATGTTTTACACTGACAAGAAAAATTCAAACCAAAGATTACGATTGTTAATTAGTAATCGTAATTCACAACTTTTTTCGTCTTTCTTCTTCGTCTTAAAAACAAAAATAGAATGAGTGAAAAATTGGAAAAACTAGGAATATACTAGGAATATACACGGGATTGTAAATGGGAGAATAATCCTTTCCCTTCGGCCCTTACGTATTTAGCCCTAACTAAAGTATAACAAAATGGAAGGGAATCAATGATTGATTTATTATTGATCTTTTTTATTTCAAACTGATGTGTTTTGCATTTATTTATATACAGTATTTACAAATATTAATATTTACGTTTCTTTTCAGCAGTTAATGTCCCTTTTCCGTTGCTTTATGAAAAATCTAACTTCATGGCAGTTGACATCTTGTGCAAGAAATTAGTTGTATAAAAAATTGAACAAGACGTCGATGTGAATGAAAAAAAAAATTAAACACCATCAAGAGGTAGGGGCTTTTCTTTAACATTTTGATATTTTCTGTTCTTTGTTATGGAAATTCTGGTGATGGAAGTTTCACCCGGCATTTGTGGTCTCTTTGTGCATACAGATGCTCAGATACAGCTCTCCTGAATTGCTGACGTTCTTATTATCGCCTCGGAGTAACGGACAGGCCTCTGGAGGCTGTAGAAATTCTGCAAAAGGTAAAAGAATTTTTCTTCAATTAAATTCACGCTTCAGGGAAGATTAGCTGAGTGCACTTGTAGGAATTCAACAGCTTGTTCTCCTTTATTAAGAGTGCAAGATTGAGAGATCAAGGATTTGTAAGAATCTTTTAACCTTTGAATAATTTTACCCCGACGGTTTCAATTTATCCCTCTATCTGGAAACATCCTTATTAAAGATAAATTGTAAAATTTTCCTCTGAAATGACTCATTACACTAACTCTAATATAAATTGGATTTCTATTCTGATGAAACTGTCGGTTCGTTCGAGTGAAATATTTTCAGGAGCGCACGTTTTCTATGAGCCACAAAATTCCCACAACAATACCAATAAAATGGTGACATGAGATGAGGCAAAAATGAATCCAAAAAGATAAGAGGAACGAAGATAGAAGATATAGCGTGACGAGTTTCGCGATATCGTACTGATGTACTTACGTTGGGTGATGCCCGGGGATAATCCGGATCCTCCAGAACTTCGTGGGGCATTTCACGTCCCTCCAGGTGGCAGGGCCTTCGCGGCAGAGATCCGTAGACCGAGAGCTTTTTATCTGTAAAGTAGTTTCGTATCCGCTTACTCCGAGCCCTTCAGTACATTTGATGGGTTACTCTACCTTCACACGCATCCCCACACCCATGATGTGTTCATTCGCTCATTCATCATTTTGCCAAAAAAAAAAAATCACTCGTACTTTTGTGTTCAGGTAAAAATGGTGTGAATGAGTGTGGGAAAAATACCAACCGGAGAAATGATTCGTCACATCCGTCGTGGGTATTAAATCAGGATTACCATCCTCTTCGTCGTTTTTTCCAAAGGTCGAAATACTCAGCTGTTGGGGTTGTTTTGGCTTTGCTGGTGTTGCTGAGTGTCTTCTCCAGAGGGCCATTAAAACACCAGTTACAATTAATCCCAATCCCGTTGCTGTACCACCCAGTCCAATTAAGATTGGTGACATGTTCACGGATGTTACTGATTCACCTATTGCCAGGACACAAACAAGTTACTGCAATTGTTCTCTATGATTCCAATGAATATCCCTTGAATATAAAAGTGTAGTCAATAAGATCATTAAATTATTTTTGCTATTAGTTATTGCAAGAAGAATTATATTGCCGGGGAAAAAAAATGCAGAACAACATTTGCGGATTTGATTCCCCTTACAGATGTAAAAAAACAATTGTACAAACGCAGATTTTCAACGTCAATGTACGCGCACTGCATCCCCTTTCGCCTTTTTGAAATTCGCGCCGAAAGTTTGTAATCAAATTTATACTTATGTCACTAGCCAATGAGGAACAGGCTTTACGTAATTCGATACTAGCGATATTCATTTACAAAAATGATTCAACACATTGTCATTTCATTTTCAGTGAATGAATAAATAAAAATATATTTATCCAATTTTCCGTCAGGCTTCCTTCGATGATTCTTAATATGTTCGGAATGTTGAAATATTCTCGGGGGAATTTATTGGAGAAGATAGAAAAAAATCTACTATTACCAAAATAGTTTTACAAATAATAATTTTGAGATTTAAAGGGAAAATAAATAAGAAGTAGTTTTTTCCTGAAAGCCTAGGCTAAACCCTCACCCTGGTCGCTAGCAATATCAAAACAGTATCCATTATTGATCCCCGGAAAAGCGGATCTTTAGCGGTCGTTAGTGCAGTGTGAAACGTTGCTTGTTTAGGTTTGGGTGTAGCCTAGAAAGGGGATGGAAAACAGAATGCATAATAATAGCTCATAAATTCGAACGGTGTAGCCTTCCGGGTCTGTGGCTCAGCATTGGTCCATGTTTCAGTTGAAACGGAACAGCTTGGTCAGCCTTATCCCAACTATCTACCAAAGATGATTTCCAGTTTGTGACGTCATTCGCATTTAATTATCACGGTTTTAGCCCGAAATGATAATACCATGGGGATTATTTCAGGTGTTTCAACGGGTTATGATGAATTAATGCATTTCTCTTGTCACCAATAATAGAGCGACGAAAATGCTTAATTCAAAGCCAGGTGAGACTAGCTGAGAGAGGTATCACCATTCTCCCTTTTATCGAGTGACTCTACCGCGGTTACTGCTGTGGTCTCAGGGTAGTGGGTGACGACCCCCCCTGGACATGCCCAATAATACTATTAACGCTGAATTCTACCTGTGTGCAAGTCCAACACCGTGCGCACTGCTGAGTTTATCGCATTGTCCCATTAACCCCTTCCTCGGATATAGGGGAAATTCGCTGGATAATCCAACCGTATCCACCACGCCCCAATGTTTCAATGAAATTCGAGAAATAGCGGGAATTTAAATGTTCCCCCTATTTTCATCAGCAATCAACAATTCATCGTATTGATGAGTTCAAACACGCAGTCTTATTTAATAGCTCATTATCTTCAATTTTAATTATTGTCACGTTACATATATTATCACGGTATTCATTACGGTATTGTTCTTATGGGGTAATTAATTGTGGCGCGGTTTATTACAGGATTAATTAATCACACCTCGTTTTATCATAGCTAAATTTATCAGAGTAGAATTATAATAAAATGATAAGAGCATTTTTTTAATCAGGAGTTACATTTTTATAATTATAAATAAACGAAACGAAACCGTAACTCGAGTTAGCAAATGGATGTGCGGTGGTGACGAAAAGTTGAGTAATACAACAATCAATATATGGATACTCCCAGGGATTGTCCAATTGGATACTCAAATTAATTAAATCGCAGTGTTTACATTTAAATGTGATATCGAGTACAGATTTCTATCACAAATATTGGAAACGTTGTAAAATCCATAAAACTTCATAAAACTGAAAGTTTGTTCGGAAATTTTTAGCGGATCAGTCGTGACGGTTTCGATTAAAACTATGTTTTGTGTTCTCAGGGAGTACCTGTCTGAAATTCAGTTCTTCCGTTTACGGAATACACTGTTTGTCCAGGTCCCTTCTTAGGTTTGCTTGGTGCCAAGTTCAATACAAAAATTACGGTACGGTTCGCATAAAAATCGACCGAGATAAGCGCAAATTTCCGAGAGTAACACCAAAAATTTATGGTTTCCAACGTGCTTTTTCCACAAAACTCATACATATTCCCCGTTCGGTGAACATTACGTTCCGACTCAGTAAAATTTATAGAATCGAAAGGAAATATTTAGCAGTATATCTTTAGCGGTGAAATTTTTCATGAATTTATAGAAGAATTATCGAAATAAGCACTTTCCGATTTACAGGAATTATTACGCATTATTCTTAAATATTTTTTCTCTGGGGACGTGCATTGAAGAAAAGTTTTCAAATGACAATGACTATGAGAATTAATTGTAACTGGACTTTCTCCTCAAATATATTACCGAATAAAAACATATCTCTTAAAAATTAAAGATGAATAAATTTCTCAGAAGTAATTACCCCTCACAATCGCAATCAATTATCCCCATGTTTATTATTGTTTATTATTTGAAATAAAGTTCAAATTCATTTCTAAAAATGCAATAATTCAATTTAGAATATTGGCGCGGACCCATTTCCCCCGGGTTCAATGACGAATTTTCCGGTTATCTATTCTCAACTAAAAAACTAGAGTAAAAATGGAAATTTCATTGAACGTACTTGTTCCTGTGAATTTGGCGACGCCCTTGAGGAAGATATCATTCATGATAACAGGATCACTGGATCCCTTCCCATTGACCGCGTACAGTAAAACTCTCGTTGGTTTTCGTATGACCAATTCCCAGGATGGTCTCGTTGATTCAAATCGTTGATCATTGACGACAGCAACGAATTTTTGTGGCATACCTCCATCAAAGCCTTCGGTACATGATATGCGTACACTTGTCTCCGTGTTGTTGTAGGCCGTGCAGTTTTGAAGGGGATAGGGCCTTACTGTTTTCAAAATAAAGTCTCCTCACAATTATGGTATTATTTCACTGCTTAATAACTACCCCAAAAATTACCACAGCCTGTCAATCAGAAATTTATAAAAATTTGGGTTTTATTTCTATTCAAAATTGGCGGATTTTACTCTCTGACATTTGCTTTAAAATCTTTGTCCTTTCAGTTTCAATGGATGCTCTCGTTGGAAAAAAACAATCGATTCAAGTTACGGCCTTTTTTTATGGCCCTCGTTCATCAGTACTTTTACCAGTCCCGACTAAACATTTATTGACGGCTAAATCCAGTAAATCCTAATTCCTTTAGATTAAAAACAGATTAAAAAACGCGGTTTTCAATGATTTAATCACGTGAGAGAATTTATTTACCTTTTTCAAACTGGAGATTATTTAATATAATATGTCAACTATTCTCAACTATTCAAGTATTTGGCAAGAAAATCATTGTCGAGTTTTGTCATGATCATTGAATTATGAATGAATATTGATTCACTCCCTGCATAGAAGAAAATAAATAAGTTTAATGTTATAAGGCACTCCTACGACAAGGAACGTAAAAAAAAGAAAAGAAAATAATAAATTCTGTTTGATTATTTACGTCTTACTATTTTTCTTTTCGCCTTTCATCGTTAATGGAAGATGCATGCACTGTGAATTTTTTGTATGAGAAAATGCATAATAGAATACGTTTTACGAGAAAATACAAATCTATAAAATTTTAGTATTTAAGTCGGAGAAAAAAAATGCAACACGCTGCAAAATTTTCAATGGGATTCCAATCGAATTCTTCAGCGAACCGTCTGGGCTTTCGTATTGGATTTTTTTATACGTGTCATCTCGTTCTATCGCTGGAATAATGAATTTTTCCAATCACTCTCTTTTCAAGACCAATTTATCATCTGTCTACTATAATTACAATAATTTACTTTCGCCCATTCATGGACTAGATCAATATTCATTCATAGTTCGCGTTTGGCCATCGCCTGAGGGTCTTCAGCTATGACTACCTATTATTTTTCCAGAAATAATTCTGATTAATTTTCCAGCCCCAAACGATTTCATTCGACATGATTTTTTTTTCATTTTCATTCTGCATGTAATTTGTTTCTGTTTCATTTTTATTTTTTGCATAATTTTTTTCAGTCTGATAAACTCCTCGGCTAGGAGGAAATTATCAAACCGACAATTTACCTGTAGCCTATCAATTTTCATTAATCGGACGGACATATTTACAGCCGAAATATTTGTCAAATCCAAATGACAGCTTGTGTTGTTTTGCAGAGGCTAATTGCAAAATGATTCGATTTGGAGAGTTCGATGAAAAAAATTGATTGAAAAAAGTAGAAAACGGTGCCCCTAGTAATACTGTAAATCTACAAGCTGAATAAACATGAACCTTGAATGGGACTTTCCATCCTGTGAATAACGAAGAAGTTTCTCGAATACTGGACTCTAGTTAAAGTAAAAATAATAAAAATTCTCTCCCGTATTCTTCACCTTCAAGATTATCGGATATTTCCTGATTGTATTATTACGGAGCAACGATAGTAAAATGTTCTCAATCTATCAAATTATTTATTTGATAATTTTATCTGATCGTTGCTACATAAAAAACTAAACAACAACTCTTCGTCAAATTAATACATTGAACTCAAGGATGGGTTTTTCATTTCTTAATTTAGAATTTCGTCGAAGCTTCAAAATTTATCAAACATTTCCCTGAAGACTCGCTGCATACGAATGAAGTCGTCAAGTTTTTCAATAAAAATTCTGAGCGCGAAGCACGAGAAACTGAAAAACTTGTCATCATCATCAATGTGGAACGAACCTATTGAAAAATATCCGATAATCGTTAAGCTTCTGTGGTATTACGAGTGCTAAAATAAAAAAAAAATAGATTTAGAGTGGCGCAGATAATTGAAGCTGTACAAACCTGCAGCAATAATCTGATAAAAACACGGCTGCCTGGATTGTCCAATGACATTGCTAGCCCAACACCCAATGGTCCCGTTATCCATATCAGTTGATGGTGTGTAACTGAGACGACTCCTAGTGCCATCACTGGTGAACTTATTGGATGGAATATCACTAAGATCACCACTGCTATTGAATGTCCAACGAAAAGTAACAGCAGTGGGTACAGCTTCCACCTCACAAACAAGCCCTATCGTTTCATGTCTGAGAGCCCCATGAAGCTGTTCAATCGTGTTCAATACCGGTGGTATTGATGCTTTAGATAAACCTGATGGCTCTTCATTAATCACGCGTCTACAGATTGGGGCAACTGAAATGAATTATCATTCAATGTTATGATAATACTTAACGACAAGTGGTTACATTAAATTAAATTTAGTAGCTTTTATTGTCATTTTAGTAGACAAATTATAGAAGCAGTTGTTCCTATCGATTTCCTCGGCAAAATTCTTGAGATGCTGTACAGAAATAGTTATTTTCAAGCCTAGCCGTGGAATACAGATCATCCTTCTCCACATGCAAGATTAATATCTCAGCCGAAGGCGAAGGCGAGCCCGGGGTATTGGAGAGGGAAAGTTTTTATAGCGTTCCACATCTTGTGACGTCAGAGGAAATCGTTGGAAAATAATGGTGGATTAGGTAGGAAGGGACCCAGGATTATTCTCGATATAATTTTACAAGAAAAATTTACTCAAAAAATGGATAGTACAGAGAAAAAAATTTTCTTTACCCAATAATATTTACTAACCACAAGAGAATATATTTGATATTAGTAAGTCTGATGGGAGTATTTGCACAGTGACTGCCAGATTCACTGGTGGTTAGTAAATAATATTGAAATTATGTTTTTGAGGCGCTAGTCTGGAGGAGAATATATTTGACAGTCAATAAAAATATAGAATCCAAATAACGGAAACTTTAAAATGTTACCGATGGTAAACCGCGTATTGTTAATTATTTTTGTGTAAGCTTGACTGATCCCTTGGAATCGATATTTCCATCTGCGATCCATCAACAATTTTCTCCTTTTTTTCTAATTATTTTGTTTATAATCATGAGAGTAGTTTTCGCAAAACAATTAGAAACCCAAAGAACTGTTTTGGCGTAACAAAAATTCAAATCAATGAATCCTGCTTTTTTAAATTATTATTGACTTTTTTTTAAAGTACTCACACATGACTTCCAAAACGACAACATTAGATCGAGAATCTCCCTCCTCATTATTAGCCATACAGGTGTAATCACCAGCAGCATCACGAGTTATTCCCTGAAGTACCAATGAATGATCAGAAAGCACCACTCCACCTGTTACATTATGCTGTAACTTCGTACCCTGCAACCCATGACATCAAAACACTTGTTAACTCTGTAAACTCCTCGTCGAAATCCTTCAATTAAAACTGAGTTTCACAGGATCATTATATGATTAACATCAAACTTTGTGTCATACCAGAGAATGTGTAGAGCACATGAAACTTTTCGAGTGAGCAATACTTCTAAATTCTATTGAGAGACTTCCAAACAATAACTACTTGAAAATGTTTAGTGAAAATTCAACTAGTCAGTTTGAGGATTATTATTATATTAAAATTATGATCATGATTTCATCGATTAATTATCGTTCCCTCATGATTATGATTCAGGGAATTTTCTATAACTTCTACATCCTTGAATAATTTAGTTTACAAAGATATTGATTGTAAATGATATTGAGACCTGAAAACAGAAATTCCATCTGCTCCGTAAGATATCAATTTCTTCGCAAGACTATTGTACCTCACTGTAAAAAAAAAGTAACTTCACATATCTCAAAGGGAAATCCATTAAGAGTACAAATAACTTGTCAATTTTATATGATCCTCATAGAGACAGAGTATCTCTATCATCGCACTCATTTGCATCTACTCCGTAGTTTACGAATACCAACTGACACGGATGCTATAAATTTTTATGTAATACATGAGCGAAAATCCTCACTAGAGCTTTTCCTCCCAGCCGAAGCATTACGTATGCAATACATTTCTCTTGAGATATTATGTGCGCGCGTGATTTAGCTCTTGTGCAAGGTATAAGAGGTGCATGTACTTCATACCATCTGGGTTTGTACTTGAACCAATTTGCAACGAGGAAAAGCAAATGTCTGTGTATGCTTTTTGGCTCGTTTGAGGGAAGGGAATTGTAAAAAAGTTTATTTCACCCTCGGCTGTTTCTTCGTACTGGGCTCTGATGACGAGGGTCCCTCTGTTGTCTTGGGGCGGAAAAAAAAAATGCAGAGGCAAATATGATGTAAATAAATAAAGCTGGATGTTCAAAATCGGGAAACGCTAGGGGAAATACGCGCTGCTCTAATATTTACTCGGGAATATTTCGACGGCATGATAATGTATGTAAACAGTATTCCACATGAGTTTTCCATAAATCAATGACGTAGTCCGACAAAAATGTACATTACCCTATATATATTTCGAAATTGGCTTGCAACTCGTAATGCTCAATTCGGTAATGATTTCCATTGAGTAGATAGACAGCGAATATTTTCCGTCGAGCATGTCTGATTGTCATTATTAATGTTGAATGGTTTCTCTTCAAAAGTTTTTATTTTGAATCGCAAAACGAATGAAATCGTGTGATTTGCATGTGATTACATCAGATTACAATTCAAGGAAATTAATTGTAACACTTTCTGTGTTGTTCATTATCTCTAAGGGTATTAACAGTAATATGCCCTACACTAATTGTGTCCAGATGAAAAGGTGATCAGATCCTTAATCAGGAGATGTATAATAACTAGAATGGTGTGGTGGACTTAAACTAGATATTTATCAATTGTGGAATAAAATGAAGAGTACGGCCCTGCGTATTTTTTCATGGCATGTATTAATTATTTTGAAATCAATGTGATTCTCAATATTTACGATGAAATGAAATTCATGGGTTTTAATTCAACGAAAAATTGGAAAACTGATATTTTGTGTTTGTCATAAAGCGGAGAAAAATGAGATAGAAATTGAAGGAAAATTCTTTATACCGCACAATATTGATTAACAGTTCCAAAAAAACAATTCATTGCATTTTCATTTCAGTTGTATTCTCGAAACGGACTGTATCGGGCTCACCGTAATTTCATTAATTTTGGATTTCAATAAAATCCCTACAAAAATGCAGCGAATTCTTGTTCTATGTTTGATAATGAAACGCAGCAGCTTGAAATAATCATCACGAGAGGATTAAACTCTATTGAAATTCCAGTTTTATCAATTCTCTGGTGCCCCCTATAAATCTCCACGATTCTGATAAAAAAAAATGAGTCCGTGAATTGATAACACCCAGTAGTTACTGAACTCCATGAACAACCATATCGCAATGCAGGATTGTGCACACGCACTAACAATTTAGTTGTCACCTCGGCATAAATGTATTTTTTCACACGCTCAATATAAGCTCTTTGTCCATGTAGAGTATTCCTGCATATGACCGCACACAGGTTCACTAAGCCATGAAAAAGTAGTGAAAAATGAAAAATTGTCAACTGGAAAACAGAAATAGAGAAAAATGGTACAATTTAGATACGAGTGGAGAGGCAGTGAACGTTTTTACGGATTGGTAAACCAGGATTCACCTCGATCATTCGCTGAGGTCAGGGTACTGGTTGGGCCAGAAGTGAGGCTCGTCGAATTTATTGGTTTTGGGTTTTTGGATGGAACGTAACGCACCACTGGGACATTGAATGGACGGGAAGTGACAACGCTTGGCTCGTAAATTTGCAATAATTTCGACATAGTCAACGTTCCGGTTGTGAACGCGTGCCATAGTCCATCAGACCAATGGGCAACTCAACTCGCAGTTGAGTGAGAATGGATTTTTTTTTCAAGAGGAGTTTGGAAAAACGATGCAACTTTTAAACAGCATAAAATATGTATTTTTTGGGCTCTCATGGAAAAGCTGTTTTGACGAATTTTATCACCAACTCGTGAATTATTGCGTGGATTTTTTTCCATGCGGTTGCCATGGCTACCATTTTGTGAGTATTGCTTGGAAAATGGAAAAGAATGTTTTTTATATGAAGACAGATATTGAATAAGAATTTATGGTAAAGTCATTATTTTAGATGAGTTAAAGATGAAGAACGGAAAACCTCAGGACTTGATACATGTAAATTTTCAGTAATTGTGTTAAAAAATAAGCAAAAATGTTCTTCTTATTTAGGGAAATTCAACTTACTGTTTCTAATTGCTGTTATGTAGTTTTAAATTCACATTTACTCATTAAAACTATTCGCACTGAGGCTCCTATTTCGTCATCATTTGTTCTCCTCTCATATATCACTAGTATTACCATTTCACTTTGTACAACTGTTCTCTAATTGGATAACGTTATTTTAGATTCAAGAATATAAATACATTTCATCTCCACCGATTTTTCAACTCTAGGAGACGTTCACTAGAATTGAGTGATTTTTTTACATCTGTTTTTTGCAAAGAGTTCAATGGTACAAAGTGAAAACTCACTAATTTTCCCGGAAAATCTGGGATGAAAAGTTGAGGGAATTAAAGAATTTTCCCTGCGAGAAAGAAAACTTTTCAAGATTTCCGTCACATTCATACAATATCAATCCATAAAAAAATCTAAAAATCCCAAATAACAAAATAATCTCTTAATGAATTACAAATGTTTTTAAACGACAAATTAGTTTTGTAATTGAAGTTCTTGCAGTGGAGAAACTAGCCCTTAGGGTATACGTAATTTCTTTCTCTCCTTTCGTGTTCAACTCGTGTAAAATTTCATCTACCCGACCCGTAGTCGAAACGTCTCTCTTTCATTTCCTTCACACGTGTCGCTTTCTTTACCTTTTCGAGACGACGGCAAAAAAAAAAGAAAGCTCAGTGAACTTTATTTCGTCTCACCCTGTTTCACACCTTAATTGACGCTGATATTAGAAAAGTTTAAGGTGTACTGATGGGTTATAACAAGCAGCTAAAACCACGGTTACTAGATTACTCAGGTTATACCAGTGTTCTCACGTTGGTCCATTGTTTCCCATACCGTAACAACGTTGACTCAGCGGTAAAGATCATACACTGGCTTAACATGGGTATCCAGTAACTTGGGCTGAGACACAAAATCAATGTGAAAATGAAGGAACAAAAGATTGGAATATTTACCTTATGGTACCAGCTGAGCTTTGAAGTACTGGGATTTGCTTTGACGTTACACTCGAAATAAACATCATCTCCCTCTTTGATAACATCGGTATTCAATGAAGAACCCATCCTGAGTGTCACCACAGGCTTATCTGAAAATACGATGATAAAAGTTACTCTCATCGGCTCATAAAACACTCATAAATTCAATAATATTCCCTTCTCTGATCTAACACTCAATATCTTCCTTCGTGGAAACCGAATTGGCAGATTCTGTTAAATTTTGTTTAATTTTAAGCACAAGTATTTTCAGAATATGAAACGCCGCTGAATGTATCTCATTCAACAAATATACACGCGTAAATAAAGTTCGCTCGAATCGAAATATCTCGAATGCGCGTCAGATTGATTACTCATTGGTCAATAGAATCGCCATACATTCATATTTGATGGGGGAAATTCAACTGCGGCCGGAGTATAGTGCACAATCAGTGTGATTTAGTGATGCGAGCAAAATTCGTGATATGTGAGATGACGGTCATGTGACCGTCAGTAGCATGTCGCATTATATCGACTTAATTAATTATTCATCATGAAATACTACAAAAAAATCAGTGGTTCTATTGAATAAATTTCTCACATAGCTAAATGTTGTGAGACAGAAATATTACCGTAAATATTACCGTAGATATTACCGTAAATATTGCCGTAAATATTACCGCATGACTATTTGTCAGTAACAAAATCTTATGTGACCGATTTATTGACCATAGATAGCATGACCGTTAGTGACGGTCACATAACGGTCATATTTTTTTAGATCAAACAGTTATTCTTATCTGACACTAGACAGAACGCGCGCTACGGCAAGCGGTAATTACAAAAATTACGATTGGAAATTGTTGTAAATGGAGTAAAATCTTCGGGGATTATAAATCACGTGTACACCGACTCCAAATATCTGTAAATAACAAGGATATATTTAGATAATCAATGATTAAATAATCACAGCATATGTGATCTCAGAAGCTGAGACATGAAAGCGAAAATCATGGCCTTATTTTGGAGTATCAAGTATTATCCATCCTCCATCGATACTTATTACGATTATTATTACGATCGATCATTATGACCAGTGATTATGCATGGTCGATCAAACATATTTCTTTTCATCTCCACCAGAAATTAAAAAATTAAATGAGTTCTGAATTCAAATTAGCCGCCTCAGACGACAGAACCAATGAGAAATAACCGTGCTAGAGTTTCAAAATATCAATAGTCCCGTTTGTCCTTTTTATAATAGGAGGAATAGGACAGTAATGACGCATTTCTAAACTAGTAGTATCAAATTTCCATAATGCAAACTCATAACTCACACTAGTGTCCGAATAGTCGCAGTCTAAAGGATTTGCTGTCGATAACCACTGAGAAAGTTGACAAAACTTTTGCAGTCTGCACATTTGAAAAAAGTATAAGATGAATGGACGTAACGAGCAGGCAGCGAGTGGAAGGCGAATAGGTGAGGAGGGTTAAGTAGCGGAGTAGCTGGAGGGGTTGGAAAATAGGCTAGAAACGTTGGCTCTGCATACATCCCGTTAGCCCTGTCTACCTAACTAAAGGGGAATGCACGGCCAGTATGTGTGGTTCACTTGGTAGACCAAGCCGGCTTATTTTCATTATGCATGTACTTTCCGCGAATCGTGTACACGAACTCAACCGTCAGCCTGCTATACATCCACTGTTTTCCCCCATGTATTTGCCCTCAATCCCTCCAACCCCCCCTCCACACAGTCCCAACGAATTTCCATGCAGTGAAATAATTCCATAAAGAAGTAGCATTTTCCGGTGATTTTGCTCCATTCATTCTTCGTCTTTTGCAAACATCTCTCTTTCCCGTTTCTCATTATTATGTGAAGATAAAAAATAAAGTTGGCGTGTATTTAGTTTGGCAGTGGTTATAATCCTCAAACAAAACTAAAGAACGGCTTCCAAAATAAAAGGGAAGTGGAGGGTAGAAATTCAGGGAAAGAGTTACGTGGACAGTGTGTCGATTCAATTTATCAAGAAACGATCTTCGTGGCCAAACTTAAGTCGATTCAACCATTCTTATACCTCTTTCTATGAGGGGGGCAATCCACAAAAAAGGTCAGTACGAATCTGATACCCTTTCCTACGCTATCATTTCCCCTTCGTCAACAATTCCGTACAGATTCTATTCGCTGGCTCTCACGTATTGACAGCATTTCCCCTTGCCAGATTTTTCTCTCTCCAAAAACTTTTTATGGTCCAAGATTTTACCTCTTTTTTCTCGACCTCCCTTCATTTTCGATCCTGGCATCCACTATTTTCCCATTTTCTTGGAGAACTGTCGGGTTGTGAGTGAATTATTTAGGATGAACGATAGAACGAAAATCGTTCGATAGAAGTACTGGTGATTATGGAAGAAGATAAGGGAGTATGTCAGTGAATAAGGGCGGGAAATGGGTTGTGACATGGATTATGTGATTGTGTACAAGGATCCACAAGGGGAGATCTCCAAGACCTGTGGAATCACATTTCCGTCTTTAGGCTTGTTTGATAATTAATTAGTAGTAACTTGAAATGGAACAGTCATTGAAATTTGATCAGCTTTATTCTATTCATGAGTTCCTTCTCCCCTCGACCCGTCGACAGCACGACTCGGGGATGAGTCCTTTTCGAATCTCTCAAAAGGCCATAAAAAATTGATGGATTAATGATGAACCTCAGCTTATCAGTTCTGAAACTAATTAAAACCTGGAATAATTCCGGTTCATTACTTCTGGCATTAGGAATTAATGTTAGGAAGCAAACATCACTGATCAAATTCAAGTTTAAAACTAATCCCCAGTGGAATGAGTCTCTCAGAAACTGATTTGATCAGATTAAAATTTGATGATCTTGATGACAATCAGAACGTTAAGACCCAGTTTCTTATAAAGTTCATCAAACACAGACAATTGAACTATCCAAAATGAAACCTAATGTTCACATTGTCATCGAGTTTATCAACCGAACCTTGAGTTGTTGTTCCACTGGGAATGCACAAAAATTTGAAATTATATACTGACAAGAAACAAACAGAACTCTTCATCGTGGACATACGTCAGTGTATATAGAAATTGGATATATCGCTTGGGATTCTCACGAGACTACTGTAGACACAGTGGACACGATCCCTTTGAGAATTCGATTCATCAAAGTCTCGATGGAGTAGTAAGGGGGCAAACTGGAGGAAGATGAGGTGGAGTGGGTGGAATGGGTGGTTGAATGGATGGAGTTTATCCAAAGGAGTTGGTCTGTGAACTTCTCTCTCAGTGGATCACGAATGAGACCCCGGGAATGGCCATACCGATGTATATCCGAGAGCTAAGGCACTTGGGTTGGTCGCACACGATATGAATTTTGCAGTGTGGACCGTGAGGAATAGATCGGCATGATAACCGTTGGAAACTCTCTATCTATGTTCCGTGGATCATGAGGCTGTGTATGGAGTATTTGGCTGGCTTGCCTAAGACCCAGCGGGATATGTCTCATTGTCTGATGACCCGGTTGATATCGATAATAGCCTCTGATATTTTGAGCAATGGACGATTTGAGAAGAGCTTGCAGCAGAGACGGAGAGATGGAGTCATGACTAAACTGAAAAACCGATCTGGAAAGGAATTTTTCAAGGATTTCTATCAATTTTTCCTTCAAACTCAAATAAAAAATGATAAACCTTCAAATTTTATAGTGCAGTTTCGTAAATTTTATGGTAGTAGATGATATTAATAGCAATTATTATTTGTGAACCAAAGAAATTGAAGTATTTTAATATTTTGTATGACGATTCTAGTGGTCGGCACTCGAGAGATTATTTATAAGCGAAAAGTGGATTCAATGGAGTATTCTGAAATTGTAACGTGAAAATCGGTGAAGAATTTTTGAAGTTAAGCTCCTTATCGCTGTCGTTTGGAGTTGAGAACTTGAAGGTTTTAGAAGAAAGTGAAGCGATCAGGGGCTGGAGGGTGGGTTGAACGTAACGAGGAGTGACTGGAGCGCGTGGTAATTGCGGAGCTGTTCATTATCACATTTGCGGAGGGAAACATTAGTTCTTGCGTTTGGATACAGCCACATGAGTCGTCCCTTTACTCTTCGTAACTTTTCGGAATTTCGTTCATTTACGGGTAATTGACAATGAGCAGCACTGATTTATGTATTGATTTGCGCATTAATTTCTTGAAATCAGAATCTACTGACGTTAATAACATTTACAATATGAGTCAAATCTAGAAAATGATATGTGGACTAATGCCATTTTTTTTAAATATTTTAAATAAAAATCTCTCTTCTGCAAATACATGAAAACGAAATATTTTGAAATTGAAATTACAGTTTTTTTCCCAACTTCAACCACGGAAATGACATCACAATGTTGAGTTAATCAGAATTTTTAAAAGGGTGTCGCCATTTTTGTTTTAAAGTAATTATTTAGTATCAACTGTACAGGGAGAGAAAAATATTAGAAAAAGTACGTAAAAAGTTCTGTAAAAATTCATGTGTGAAAGGTAAACGTGGGGCGAAATGTAAAATCGGAAAAAGTGCCGATCCTTCAGAACATTTTAAAGGTAGAAAAATTACGGTACTCAGTTCCGTAAATTTTTCGTAATTTTTCTCCAAACTTTTATTTTTCAATAATAATAATTGAGGGAGAGGATATTTAATTAATAAATGATTTGATTGGATCAAAACTTCAAAAATCACCTGTAATGTTTTTTTATCCTTCCGACAATAATAATTTGTCGGCTGACATGATCCGAACTTGGACAATGATTCGCGATCGGGTATGACCAACAATCATACCACCAACGCTGTCTAGGAATTTTTCAATTCGGTCACGTAAAAATTACGGTACGTCACGTAAAATTTAAATGAAACTGGAGAATTTTTACGTTACTCGGAATAATTTTTACCGGAACTGTGGTAAATTTTCCAAGTTCGTAAGAAATTACGTGACAGTCACGTAAATTTTCCAGAGCAAATAATAAAATTTACTGTTCATCTCTCATTTTTTCCCAAACTCTCCAGTAAAAAATAAGGAAATGACACTCCAGCCCACAATTACGTGATTACTCACGTAATTTTTTCTGTG